AGCCGTTCAGTTGTGTCATCGAAAACTATTTCAGCACTACTCTGTGGAAGGCACGTGCCAGACAGGGAGCCATCAGTAACCCAAGACTCGAAACGACCAACCAGAGGCCACACATCATCCTTCCAAGTTCTGCCCTAGCACAAGGCAGCAGCAGAAATGTGAACAAAGGCTGCCTGGGTGTGCAACCTACTTCCAGCACCTCGACTCCCTCTGCTGTGGTGCTCCCCCCGGCCCCCGCCCTCCCCAGCCCGGTCCTGAGGCAAAGCGGGGTCCAGGGACGAGTCCCTGCAGAGAACCCCGGTGGCTTAGCCGCACTGTGCTCAGGCACCTGCACCGCATCCCACTCAGCAGGAGGTGGAGGCGAAGAGGAGGGAACATGAGAAAACCTCAAACTGCGAGACCATCCAATTCTCTCAACAGCCCCCTCCCACTTTACTTCTTCCCCTTTCTGTGTCCTCTTTAAGGCTGAGAAGATCACATTCGATTAACCTTTACTGAAAATCCACTGGGTTAAGACCAGATGCCAAATAATGTTATAGACAAGAACTCAGACCTTGGCTTTGCATACGCTCTTCCCTCTGCCTGGAACCTGCTTCCTCTCCTTCTGCACGGTACCAGCTTCAATGTCACCTCCTCAGAAAAGTGCCTGCCCAGGCAGGAATGCCCTGATGCTCCCTCAGGGTGCCCATGACAACGGTCATCGCTCCTGTGTGTGCAGTCTCTGCCCCCAGCGGGACTCAGCTCCGCGAGTGCCTGACACACACACACACGCAAGACGTCTTTTCCTATTTTTCAGATGTCTTTTCTTAAGTAGGCTCCACATCAAATGTGGGGCTTGAATGCATGACCCTGGGATCAAGAGGCAGATGCTCTACCAACGGAGCCAGCCGGGCGCCCCAGCAATACCTCGGTCTTAAATAAACTGAACAGCCTGTAGTGTTCCCGTAACAGCCAGTGTTCAATGAGCGTGTGCCGAGTGCTGTGCTGAGCTCCATGCAGGTGTGAGGTCATGACAGCCGCGTGGCGGCCGCGCTATTATTATTCCCATTTTACAGACGTAGGAAATTGCATCATCTCCCCATTTTTAAAGAATGGAAATTAGAACCTGGTAAGCAACTTGCCCAAGGCCACAGGGCTAAAAAGAGAGCGAGGATTTAGACGTCTCCCAATTCCCTCTCCAGGCCACCAGGGCTGCTCGGCCCTTCATCTTCCGCTCTCCCAGAGGGGCGTTTCTTTCTCCCACTGCCAGTGACCATTCGTCTCCTCCTCAATTCTCAGCTTCCTCTCCCAAGGCACCGGATTCCGGAATCTTCCGACTCCTCCCCTCCAGGCCTGCAGCCGGAGCTCCCACACCCGATGCGGATGTATCGTGCAATGACCCCTCACCTTGCAGCCCCGAGGCCCAGCGACCAGAGCCGCTGCATGAATGCTGGCCCCTGGACACCCAGCAAAGCAGGCAGGGAGAGCAGGGACCTCCCCAGTGAACTCACACGTGGGACCCGTGGTTAAACCCAGATTCCCAGGCTCCAGTTCCTGCTCTGTCCCTACTCCCCTCTGCTTGTATTTATGACGCTGCTGAGCGTGGGGGCATGTGGGGGACACACAGCCACTGGAGCTCTCAACAGGGAAAGGCCGCCCACGCTCATTCCAGATCTACGGCATGAGAAGTCGGTGAGGTCCCACAGGACCCGGGAGAGCCAGGAAAAACGCGGGTTCCTGTTCAGTGGAGCCACTTGACAGCCGGCCCCAGAAGCCAATTTGAGGGCAGATGCCACAACAGTGGTGGGCTCCAGAGGCCGTCCTGGGTCACGAGGGGTCGTCAAAACCAGAAGCTGCTGGAAGAAGAAAAGGGAAAGGCAGCAGGACCTAAGGAGGATGCCTGTTGGAAAAGTGTCCTGAGTTGCAAAAAGGAGAGAGGGAGGCTGGGTGTTCTCAGAGTCCTCTGCAGGAATAAGGGAAGGAGAAGAAATGGTAATGCTGTCCCGAATGTGTGACACATGGCTGAGGACCTCAATTCCGTTTTGAAACCTTCAGGGGCTCCCTGTTGACCACTCCGGGGTCAAGTTCAAACCTCTTAGCGAGGCCTTCAAAGATCCTCATGCCCAGGCCCACTGCAGCCAGGTCTGGGAGGTGAGGTATCCCAGGCCTCCATACCCCGTCCAGGGGCTCCTCATCCTTCCAGGTGCAGGCGCAGGGCACTTCGCTTCTAGGAAGACTTCCAGCACCCCCCGGGATGAGTGGGGGAAGAGCATGGGCTCTGAGGTCAGACTCTCTGGTTCAGAGCTCAGCTCCACCAACTACCTCCGCTCCAACCTGCTAGGCTGACTCTCTACAAAGCAGGAAGGTAACGATTCCCACCTCACCAGGTGGTAGGGGGATGAAACACAGTCATTCATCAAAGCACTCTGAACTGTGCCTGGCACACAGTAAGTGCTTAATAAACAAGCTGTTGTTCCTATTGTCTTCTGCACCCCTTTAGGGCCTCTGTTTCAACCACAAGTAGAGCACTGTCTTGCACATAGTCGTTACACATTGGACTCCCTCAGCCAACCACAGCCTTTTGGAAGGCACCACCCACCATTCAGGATGCGGTCCCCTGAGGCCTAGCATGGAGCCTGGCACACAGTAGGACTTCAGCAAGTGCTTACTGGCACCCCCCCCACCCCGCCGTGAAGGTCTGTGGTAGGCCCCACACAGAGTTCTCCCAGGGCCCAGCTGCTGGCCTTCCACAACTCACACTCCAATTCCCCAGGCTAAATGCCCCAAGGAGCGAGAAGGGCATTCGCTGTTACTCTGTTTCAAAACAATAAAGGGCTACACTCTCTGCCTTACTGAGGCTGTTTCCACTCCAGGGAATTTACGGGGAGAAATGAGCACAGCGGGGACTGGAAATAGAGCTGAGCCCCTCTCGGGGAGAGAGGTGGGCTGGCCGGCCAGAAACCAGGAGCGAAACCTCAAAGGCAGAGGGGGAGCAAACAGCCTCCAGACAGAAGCCCAAGCTCCACAGAACTCGGCCAACAGGAGCGAAGTAGGACAAGGAGATCACTCACACCCATTCTGCCTTGAAGGTCTCCTTCCCATCCATTTGGAGAGCTTTGAAGGGGCTCCTTAACCCACCACCATGTGGGAGCAACTTACAACACATCCAGAACCCCAAGGGCTGCACAAAGGCACCCCAGCTCGCCTATGATCGAGGGGCAAGGGGTGGGGGAGGTGGGAATTCGCAGTGCCTTCTCCACCCACACAGGCTATTGGGCCCTCATGTCTGAATGGTCACTGTCCACACCCATCTACACCCTCCTTCCCGGTAGACAGGAAGGCCCTAGGCCAGGCACCAGGTCCCATTCATCTTCAGACACCGGTGCCCCTAGCAGGGTGCCTGGCATGTGGATTGTTCAGCCAGTTACAAGGCAGCAAGATCTGGCAGCAAGAGAGGTCCTGGCTCGAGGAAGACTCTATCCTGGCCTGCCATGTGCCACAGACAAGTGAGTCATGTACTCCCCTTGGGTCTCAGTTTCCTCAATTGCACACAGGGATGACAACAATTCTGTACTCACACAGCCACTGAGAAAATTAATTGGGAAAACATGTGTGGTTAAGCACCAAAGACAAATGCTCGTCATCCTTCAAGCTTCAGCTCAGCTGTCCCCCCATGTTGGAGTCATTGCTGCTGGCCATGTTCCCCCTCTTCCAGCAGTGAGCCCACACTGCACTCCCTCTATTGTTTTATATTTTTCACATCGTTGCGATGACTCCTTTCTAAGTTTGATTCCCCCCACCGACCTGAGAGCTCCCGGAAGCCAGGGGCATTGTGAAGTTTGTGACCAAGGTCTGACAAAATGGGCACACAGGTTGGGCTGCTGGGGCCCTCCCACCCCATGGTCCCAGCAGTGGGACCCTCTGACGAGATGTCCCGAGGTGAAGAGCCGAGGGGGCCCACCAAGGTTGCTGAAAAGGAACAAGGATGGGAAGGGATGCTGCAGACATAACCTGTGAAGGAAGTCACACCTCTGAGACTCCTCTGCAGGCGCAGGTGAGCTTGTTTGCCGGGCTGACTCTGCAGCACCCAGGCCTCCAGGGCACAGATTGCTGCTTCTTTCCTTACATAAAGCACCCAGCAATCAGATAAATAATACATGGCCTTCACCTCACACACAGGTAGCAGGCGTGCAAACACCTGCTTTGCGCCATGGTGCCCTGGGCGTGGGGGCACACCCATGCGTATGTGTATATGATATCTGGCCTTGCACGACCCAGAAAGGATATGGATTGGGAAGAGAAACCCAGGCCCACCCCCCGACCCTGCCTTGCCATGGCCGGGAGTCAACTAGCACCAGACCTAAGCAGTGTGCCCAGAGAGGAAATGTACAACCCACCGGATGGATACACACACCCTAACCAGACCTCTGTGGTCCCTTTCCAAACAAATATCCTTTGGAGCCCCAGGTTAGCCTTGGTGCCCCTCCAAGCTGCTGACTTGTATGCAAGGCGTGTACACCTTGCATGCATGCATCCCCCAAAGGCCTGGCCAGGCCAACCATCCTCCCAGATCACAGCCACCCGCACAGGGCACGGATGCCTCCCCCACTCGGTGGTGCCAGGCGCCAGCACACCCACCGGGCTCACACAATCCCACTTGCAAAGGGCCTGTCCACCCGCCTTCCCTTTCCCCCGGCCACCCCCACAGGCAGGTCCAATTACACTCCAGGCGAGGGCCTGCCACGTTGGCCAGGAGGGGGCCAAGGCACACCCACGGGCGGCCCCGACCCCGCAGGGCGGGGAGGGGGCGCAGGGCGGGACGGGCTGAGAGGCGGACGCCCCCTTCCTCCTCGGCCGCGCCGGCCACCTCCATGCCTTCCCCCACCGGGGACCTGCGACCAACGCGACCCGTGGGGCACCCCCCCCGCGCAGGCCTCCCCAAAACGGAGCAGCCCCCGCGCCCGGGAGCCCGCAGCCACCCCCCTCGGGGCCTCCGGCTAGAGGCCGGCCGGGCCGGGTACCTCAGGAACCCATGGCGGCTGCGGCGGTGGTGTGTGCGGACGGCTCGCGGCTGCCGGACTCTGCAGGCGGGGCGGGCGGGCTGGCGGCGCCGCAGCCCCGGTGTCTCGCCGCCGCCGGCGGGTCCCGGGCCCAGCGGAGTGCCGCCGCGGCGCGCCTGCGCACTGAGCACGCCGCCGGGGAGGGCGGGGCGGCAAGCGAGCGGCTGAGATCACCCTCCCGGCCTTAAAGGGGCCGCGCCCGGAAACCCGCAGCCCACCGCGGGGCGGTGGGGGCGACCTCGGTTCTCCTGCCTCTCGCAAACAAACCGGCCAAGAGTCGTCGTTGCCCCCGCCTCAATTCGACTGCCCAACCCTACCCACCACAGAGCTTCTGGGGGTGCACGGACAGAGTTCTGGGCTCCAAGCTCTGTCCCCGACACTCGCGGGCTCTCTGGCACTTCACTTTTCTTAACCCTAATTTCCTCCATTTGGGCCTGTTTGTTTTTTTTTTTTAACATATAAGTTTTTTTTTAAAGATTTTATTTATTTATTCATGAGAGACAGAGAGAGAGAGAGAGGCAGAGGGAGAAGCAGGCTCCCAAGGAGCAGGGAGCCTGATGCGGGACCCAATTCCAGGACTCTGGGATCATGACCTGAGCTGAAGGCAGACGCTTAACCATCTGAGCCACCCAGGCGCCCTGGGCCTGTTTTTGAAGATGGAACATAATATAATGGCTATTTGTCGAGTGAAGGATGCGTGTGGAATTGTGAAATTAATGTGTACCGAAGTGCTGTATGCAATCACGCGAGATGAAATTGCAGAGCCGAGAAAGAGACTCTCTTCCCATTCCACTTCGCGGAGCTTCATTCTTGCCCCGCCTGTCTCTAGGCGGCCTAACTAGCAAAATTTCTCTGATGTCATTCAAGCTGCCTACCCCATTGCTGTTTGCCAGGTCCACACCTTACCCAGGTTAACCAAAAAACAGAATCCAGTCAAGTTCTGGCATTGGTGTTTTTGAGATCCCCAAATTTATTTATATCCCCTGCCCAGACTCCTCCCCTGAACTGTCTACTTAACACCTCATACTTGAGGTCCAGTAGGCATCTCAAAGTCAATGTGCCTCCCAAACACATACAAACCTGCACCCTCACAGCCTCCCCCAACAGCGTTGGCAACTCTGTCTTTTCAGTGCCCAGGCCAGGACTCCTGGAGTCATCCCCAAATCCCTCCTCTCACCCCCTTACCCCACTGGAGCAGGAAATCCCTGGCTCTACCTGCAAAATATATCTAGACTCTGACCTTTTCCACCCCATCTCCACTGCTAACACTCTCATCCAGTTTCTGCCAAGGATCACTGCAATATCCTTGTTATAGACTGAATGCGCCCGCCCTCCCAAATTCATATGCTGAAATCCTAGTCCAATATGATGGTATTGGAGGTGGGGACTTTGGGATGTCATTAGGTCATGAGGGTGGAGCCCTCATGAATGGGATTAGTGCCCTTACAAAAAAGGATCCTGGAGAGCCCCCTAGCCTTTCTGCCATGTGAGAATAGAAGAGGTCGGCAGTCTGCACCTAGGAGAGGGTTCTCACAGATCTCAATCATGCTGGCAGACAACCTGATCTCAGACTTACAGCCTCCAGAACTGTGAGAAATTTCTGTTGTTGATAAACCACCCAGTCTATAGTAACCTGTTATAACAGCCCAAACTGACCAAGATTATCACAACAATTCTCCTAACCCATTTCCTTTTTCCAACCTCACCCCAGGCTGTGTCAGTACAGGAACCAGAGGGATTCTTTTATTTTATTTTAAAACTTTTTAAAAGATTTTATTTATTGGGGCACCTGGGTAGCTCAGTGGGTTAAGCGTCTGCCTTCGGCTCAGGTCCTGGGATCCAGTCCCGCACTGGGCTCCTTGCTCAGCTGGGAGCCTGCTTCTCCCTCTGCCTGCCACTCCCCCTGCTTGTGCTCGCGCTCTCTCTCTGACAAATAAATAAAAATAAAATCTTAAAAAAAACCAAAAACCTAAGTCAGAACATGGCAGTTTTTTTGCTCAAAAACCTCCATCACTTCCCCATTTCACTCTGGGTAAAAGCCAAAGTCCTTACAAATCCCTACAAAGCCTTGCTTGAGGTGGCATTCTGTGTACCCAGGTATGTCTCACCTCCCTCCACCTCTTCTTTCCTCCACACTGACCTCTTGCTGTTCTGAGAACAAGCCAAGCACCCTCTGCCTCAAATCCTTTGCACTGGCTGTTCCATTTCATAGGATCACTGTTCCTTCAGATATCCCAGGGGTCCCTCCCTCATCTTCTTCAAGGATTTGTTCAAATGTTCTCACTCAGTGAGGCCTTCCCTGGCCACCCTTAGTAAAATTGCCAAGCCCCTCGCATGCGCTCCTGAGTCCCCTCTTACCATGCTCTATTTTTCCCCCATATCACTTAATTTCTATCATAATACATAGTTTGCCTGTTTTTCTGTCTTCCATCAGTAGAACATAAGCCCTATGAGGACAAAGATGTTTATTCTTTTTGTTTCTTGATGTAATCCCAGTACTTAGCACTGGGGCTGGCACAGAGAACACACTCAAAGAGTATTTGTCGAATGAATGAATATCTTCTAGAAAGAGTCCTGTAGAAAACTCCTTTCCCAGCCTCCGGTAAGAAGTTCCTCAGGGCTATCCCAACACACAGAACAAGCCTGCCAGTTGCATTAGGATCATCTGTTTATGACTTCCCAGTTCTCTGGGCAAAGTCCTTGTCCCAACTTCACTATTTCTTATGCTTAGCATAGAAAGTTTACAAACCAGACACAATCCAACATCTGCAGAGTGTTCAGGCCAAACCACACCCAAATTCAGGTTCTCGGCCCCTGCTCATCAAGGGTACTAACTCTTGGGTCTCAGTTTACAGAGGCCCTAGGCTGGCGGGGGCAGAGACAAGTGGTGGGTGTTTTTAGGCTTGGATTGCCAAAAAGGCCTTAAAGACAGAAAGTTACCTGGCCTGAGTGGCATGACAGGTCAGCAGGGGGCACTGGGAGCCCTGGTTGTTTGCTCCCTGCCTTTCCTCATCCTTTCCCCCAGGCTTTCCAAAATGAAGATCAACATGTATCCCCTTTGTCCCCTCCCAGCTCCATGCAATTGCCCACACCCATCGAGGCTCAAAGACGCTGATCACATCAGTCCCTTCCCTCCCTGCTTAGGGCCACTGCCCTGATTCAGGTCCCCTTACCTCTGGACAATTATAACACTTCCCCAGCCCATCAGTCACCTTATACCTGCCCAGTGGCTACAGAAGGCAGAATGCCTTTCTCCCCCTCCAGCAAATAGCTACTCTTTCCTCAAAGACCAAATTAGAGGTCATCTTTTGATTCCTTCTTGATCCTCACCACCCCCATTTTCCCCATGCTGTTTTAATTAGTTTCTTCTTAACAAAAAGTTGGAAATAGTCTGAAAGTCATCGAAGAATAGTTAAGTTCTGCTATAGCCTATTGTGTAGATATTAAAATAGCCTCTTTTTTTTTTTAAAGATTTTATTTATTTGACAGAGAGAGAGAGAGCACGAGAGCAGGAACACAAGCAGGGGTAGTGGAAGAGGGAGAAGCAGGCCTCCCGCCGAGCAGGGAGCCCGATATGGGACTCGATTCCAGGACCCTGGGATCATGACCTGAGCGGAAGGCAGACGCTTAACAACTGAGCCACCCAGGCACCCTTAAAATAGCCTCTTTATACATTTCTAATAACATGGGGAAATGATTAGGAACAATATTGAGTAAAAAGGAAGTAATAAATTTGCATGACAACCCGGTCTGAACTCTGTAAAAAAAAAAAAAAAGGTTAGAAGAAAGATTGGAAGGAAGTATGACAAAATGTCAACAGTGTCAACAACACTTCTGAGTGGCAGGATTATATATCTTGGTTTGGTTACCTTCCCCCTCCCCCACCATCTTGTTTCTCTGTATTTTCCAAAATTTGTTGGCAAAAAGCATGTCATACTTTCAAAATAAGAAAAAAGGTTATTTAAAGAAATGATTTATTGTTCCCCTCTGTTTTCTTATCACGTGCATCATAAATTCAATTAAATGCATCTGTCTCCCCCATCAGACTGAGAACCTCTCAATGGTAGCGATCAGGCTGGGTTATCTCTGCATCCAAAATCTACTCCTAGAATTTGGTAGGGGAGTACAGAAGGAAGAGCCAAGGCCTCAGCAGTGCAAGCTGATGAGTGGCCCAGAGCCCAGAGCACTCCGGATCCATTTACCTGCAGCCTCTGTGTCTCCTACTTGTCCCCAAAGATGCTGTGGGAGACCTGGCCTGGAGCCCTGGAGAGACAGCATGGTGTGGCAGGCAGAGCACAGACCTGGCTCCATTACTTCATAGCAGTGTACCTTAGGCATGTGACTTTGCCTCTCCGAGTCTCAGTTTCCCCAACAGTAAGTAGGTGGAAAGTAAGAACAACCCATTTGGCAGGATTGTCCTGAGAAATATATATGAAAATGTCAGCACAGTACTGTGAACACGGCTGATGATCGTGCTCCAGTCTACAGAACGTGACTGTTGAAGACCTAGCTAACTTTTTACCTGAATTAGACCCTTTTGGTTGCAAACAGATTGAAACGCAATTCAACTTAAACAAAGAAAGTGAATTTATGGGCTCAATTAGGAAGTGAACAGCGGAGCTGGATTTGAGGCCTCACACACGGTCATTGGGACACTATGGCTGTGTGTGTGTGTGTGTGTGTGTGTGTGTGTGTGTGTGTGTGTGTCTGAGCGCGCGCCTGTGCACTGACCTCATTCTCAGGTGACCTTTCCCCCTAGTGACAATAGCAGAGTACCTCTTTCTCAAGAATTCTCAAAGTTTTGTCTCAGGAATGCCTCTGATTGGCCCATCTGGGTCATGTTCCCATTTCTGAGCCAATCAGTGTAGCCAGGAAATGCGGGGCTCCAATTGGCCAGGCCTAGATCATGGCCCGCCCCTGGAGCCAGGGGGTGGAGTCAGCCCCTTCTGAACCAAAAGTCTTGAGAGGGGAGGGTGGGTGAGTCTCTTGAGGGAAATGGAATGTCCAGAAGAACCAGGAGAGGGTGCTGGGGAGGAAAACCCCTCAGGTGTTCAGCAGCTCAGAACGTTGAAGTGGCTCTCCCAGGGTCACCCAGAAAGGATAGGGGCTGAGGTGTGAC